TGGTCTAGAAACACTCTTTCAAAGTATGATGGATTGATACGGAGTCTCGCTATGGAGAGTCAAAGAGAGGGAAGTCGAGAAAATGAGAATCGCTAAAACGGGCTTTTTTGAATATCGCTAAAATTCACCCCATCTTTGGGGGTCGATATCTCGCGAACGGGGCGTCGGATGGGAAAACCCTTCAAATTAGTTTCTTATAATGATGTAAAGACCCCGTATACCAATTTTCAGCCAAATCGGAGGGGGTCGGATTCCGAGCCTGGCACAGTTGACGTGGAATGGCCCATACCTTAGTTATGAATTGAATTCAGTAATTGTTGTCGCGCAAATCGTGTTTCGTGGAGCTCTGGTTTAGGAAAGTACGTACCAGAATGATTAAATGTGCACCTTGTCTAGTGGTCCATTAGGTATTACAATACACAATGCAAAAAGCCCCGTCTAATTAAGTGGGCTATTCTAAAAATGAAATAGCTCATGCCATTAAAGAGAACAAGTATATATCTGGTGCTTTGGAATACTGGAGTTTTTGGAATACTGCTCTCTTTTTGGGCCGTAGTATCTTGATTTATTTACCGAGGAAAGCTCCGTACTTTTGATGGATGCCTGTTATTACTAATATATTAGAGCGCCTTCAGTTTCGTATGATACTGTGCAATATCTCTGGTGTGAAATAGTTGCTTCAAGCGCCGTGGCAGGCGGGCAGCCAGCGCGAAACACGCATTGGCGCCTACAAACCTAACAGGGATACTTCACGCGTTGCGCAATGCGTGAAGTATCCCTGTTAGGTTTGTAGCGCCAGTGCGTCGCCGCTCCGCTTTGTGTTAGGCTCTAATATTTAATCTGGCGGAGTCAACGTTATTCAACTCATGATTTTGAAATGTTTGCACATCCTGTATGGATTATTCTCATTTTAATTGATGAAAAAAAAAAATGTATTAAAGGAAAATATAATGAGTGTTTTGTAAATATTAAGGTGGTTCCGTATCAAACTTAATGATTTCCAAAGCATACGAATTTCTACACAATTTCTTATAGCCTTTTATAATCGATGGCGAAAAAGCAACAGCCAGGCGATAAAGCGTAAAGCCCGGCGATAGGAACTATAGCCCGGCTGCATAATCTTTTATCGCTTCGTATTGCCCGGCCGTATAATTTTCTCCGCATTCTACAGCCAGCTATATGATTTTCTGTAGCCTTCTTTAGCCGGCTATAAGAACTCCTATGGTATTTTGAAACGCAGCTCTTATCGCCAATTTTTACCAGGGAGTCAATATTGATTGCAACTATATTTGAACTATTCATTAGCATTCGCTTTTTTCCCAATGTAACAGATTTCTAGCTGGGTTTATCAGGCGTCTAAAATGGATGGCGTCGTACCAAACTGGTTCACTATTCAAGCAGACCAAATGAATTCGTTCAACCCGATATGTTGCATGTTGTTCATACCCCTGCTAGAGCTCGTTATATATCCGGCATTGGCAAAAGTTGGCATCAAAAGACCTTTGCAGTATATCACTATTGGTGCATTATTATGTGCATCGTCGTTTGTTTTAGCAGCTTACGTTGAATATAAGCAAGAGGTGAGTGGGAAATCAACACCATCAGCATAACGTCCAATGGCGAATTCAGACTTCGCTTTTTCTTACATGACGTCTAATCAGTAATGTTACATGTACCATGTACATCATCCATATATCTTAAATGTTCTCTTGAATCTCGAGTAGCTCTGGATGGGTGCTCACATGAAAATCCAGAGAGGTAACGCAGTACCGCTATGATGCGGTCCTACGTTACCTCTTTGGTGAGGGTAGGGCCAAATTCCAGCGGTTTCGCGTTCACCGCCATGGTGCGATCTAAAATTGAAACTTTTTTTGGTTCCTCCATTTTCAGCCGTGCTATGCCCAGTTGCCCTCGCCCGGTCAGGGACAATTGAGGATTTTCAACGGCCTGCCGTGTCCAGTTGATATAAATTTTCCCGACAAAAACAACCATGTTATTCCTGCACACGGGGATCTTCAGTGGACTGACTTGCAAGTGCAGAACACGCGGAAATTCAACACAAAATTAGCTTTAAACGAAGATTTTGCCTGTAGGAACATTATTGTGCCAAAAAGCTGGATGCAAGAGCTGTCTATCTTCGAAGAAAAGGCAAGTGTCAAAACAGCATCCATTCTGAGCATCTAAGCAGGTAATTTTGTACTTTTGATCAGGTAATAAACAATTTATTAAACATACTCAGAGGGCCGTCCTTTAATTTAGTGCTCATCTGCGAAGAAATGCCATTGATCGATAAAATAGAGACATTGAATTTCGTTTAAACTAAGGAGCTACGCCTCCTAACAGCTGCGCGATACATACCCCCAAAGTGCTTCGCTCCTTAGGCGTTATTATGAATGCGTTACGCGATACTCTTATGATTTTATATTATAATGTAAAAAATGACAGCAAAATGCCGTTGCAAAATCGCAATAAGTTTAGTGAGAAAAATTGCTGAGATACCGAAAAGGCAGATGGTCATATGCACTGTTAAAAATCATGGCAATGCACAACACTATTGTGTGTATCTTTTCATTAATAATTTTTTTTAAAAGCAAAAACGAAATGATGATATCTTTGTTAACAGTTTAGCATCTCATCAACATTCTATTTTTTTCACGAAGTAATAAGTTGCGTTGTGCAAATAATAAGATATCTTTTTCGCTCCATCAAAAGTTGCTTTTAAAAATTGCTGATTTGTGGTCCTCGCAAAATACGGAAGACAAATAACATCGACAATGAAAACAAGACAAAAAGAAGCAAACTAATCACTAGCATTCTATTTACGAAAGAAAGAAATTATGTAATAAAAATTGGCGTCATGGGCGAGTGTCAAAGTCATTGGAACATCCGGAGCAACTATTCGTGCTCAGGAACTACAATTGTTGCATGCACACTAAAATGAAGGCACTTTGACTTTCTGAGCGGTTCAATGACCCAGCGCGCCGTGAATCTTCGGTGAGCAAGGGGATATTCCGACTTGCTTTATAGAAATTCATTGCTTTTACCCTGAGGATGCTCATCTTTTGGCAGTAAATAATTACGAAGTGAATATTTTTAAAAAATCGTATTGTCTAATTTATTTATCGACTCGTGTGGAAGTCGCTGATTTCAATTATTTTGCAAATTTGTAATTTTTGGTTTTTAAGACTCTTTGAGGTTACACCCCTGCCCGAATATGCTGAAAAAATTTGCTTGCAAAATTGTTTAAGAAGAAAAACCGTGCCTCATCTCTGCAAATCATGCGAATATGACGAATCTTCATTCAAACATTGAAGAATCTTTTAAAATTCCTTTCTTTGTTTGAGCTCTCATTCATGTGTCTGACAATAAATTGATATTTTGTTGTAATTTAAAATAAAAATTGTGCCTATAAATCAGTGTTTGGGAGGCTTCATAACCTATCACACAAATATCATGCGAAAAAAACTAATGATGCATTTATTTTAGTTAATATTTTCGTGGAACTTTTAAAAGGTTGCAAATGTGAAAGGTTTCGTCTGTTTAACTTTCGTAGAATGATAATATTCTGGAATTTTCATAATTATTTATGAATTACTTCTTTCATGGGTCGAGCAGTTTTATAACTCAGAAATTTCAACATCTCAACTGCAATTACTGCTAATATCAATTTTCTTTTTTCAATTACTCTGTGAACTCTTCTTATTCAGTTTAATCCCAGGCTTGTGCAGCTTCATACAGTATCTCAAAGTTAGGAATATTTAATATCACCAATTTTGCACCAGTCGATTCAATGGACCACTAGACAAGGTACGAATTTCAGCACTCTGATATATGATCCGTAACCAAAATTTCACGTAGAGCACGATGCGCACAATGAAAATTATCGAAATCAACTCCTTACAACGATATTTAATGATTCTTGATGCGTGAATCCAAACCACCCGCTCATGAAAACTCAATGCTCTACGTGATTCACATCGCGCGCTAAACGTTATCATGACAGTCTCTGCGCGATGTAAAAATCTGGCAACCTCAATCTTGACGCTTTGGCTCAGCTATAGCAAATTGCCTATAGTTCGAACAACACATGGTGAGAACTGAATATTGCTCGATTAAGAAACTTGCTGAGACCGTTGTCGTGCGCGATTTGACTCACGTAGAGCTTTGAGTTTCTTGTGAGCGGGCAGTTCAAATTCCTCGTAACCAATTTGAAATGAAAAGGTTAATATCTTCGTTAGGAGTTGGTTTCAGTAATTTTCGTTGCGCGAATCGTGTTCTACGTGAAATTTTGGTTTAGAAACATGTACCGGAATGCTTAAATTCGTACCTTGTCTAGTGATCCATTATAATATTGACCTACACTGTTCCAGTGTTCATATCAATCAGATAGGCACTGCAGCATTATAATTTCATCAATGCAACTATGTCGCAGCGTCATCGTCAGTTTTGTTTCAGAGCGTTTCATACATTTTGACTGTTTTAAATGCCACTGCCGATATTCAAAGGATCCCGGGATACGATGATGTTTCAAAATCACAAAGCAATGTGCCTGTTCTCAGGTAATCTATTCTAGCTAAACATCAAACAAGATTTAAAAAAATAAATAAAAAAATTAAAAATTAAAAAAAAAGTTTATGGAGTACAAATATATTGTTTGCTGAAAACTGTCAATTGATTAAAATCCTGTCGGAGATGAGATATTCATAATTATTAGTGTTAAACGTAGATGAATTGTATTCAGACGTGACAAGATTAGCATGGAGATTTTTGCTAAAGGGTCTTTTAGAAAAAAAGTTGCTTGGATATAGAGTCCGGGCTCTAAAAAAATTTAACATGAAGAAATACTCTTGACTTATCGGATTTTTTGCTTGAATCAAAAGGAAATCCGCCTAAATCAAAAGACCTTGGCTATCGATTCGAGCAAAAAGCCGATTGAATCAATACTTTTTTTTCTTGTCAAATTTATTAAGATTCTGGACTCTACATCCAGGTGACTGTTTATTCCAGTGCTCTCTTTTTTGCTGAAAACTTCTTTAAAAGAGTAAGGGGCAAAATCTTGGACCTAGTCAATTTTTTCGTCCAGATTTCTTCTAATATTACGTGAACAAGCGTTCCTAATGTCTTACCTCTACTTATGCTTTTTTTTCGTCACAGAGTAATTCATAATTTGGAAGGAAATCTCGTATTGAAGAACCAGTACGGTGGAGAATTCGTTTTAAAACTTTCATTGTCTGACCCAGTAACATCCATGATTGAGGTGGACTCTGCCAGGTTAGTATGCATACGAGTATTCCTCCGAATCCATCCAGGATTCTTCCACAGATGCTTTTCTGTCACTGCAGTTACAGAACGGCTGAAAATTAAAAGAGAAGGGAGAGGCGGAAGAAATGCATTTTTGACAGAAGCAGGTTGATTATTGAAATTGATAGACAAAAAGAAAATTTAAGGAGGAACTAAAGTTAAAACCCATACGTAAGGTCCGCCATGTATTATACGCCAAGCATTTTGGCCGACTTTTTTACGCATCCTCTTCCCCTCTCACTTTGTAAGACACTTCAAGACAACCTTTCGCCCCCTCCCTTTTGAATTACGTTAGACTGACTTGACCCCCTTAAATTTTTCCAAAAATGGCGGAAAGAGTTTACACAGTCGCTAAAAAAATACTTTTTACTGGAAAATATTGTTTGTTTTTAAAAAAATGGGGAGACTTAGGTAAGGCTGGAGAAACCCCTCCGGCTCGTAATACCACGTAAGGCAACCTCAGACCCCACTCCTCCTTCAATAGCTTATGTAATACTTGAACGACCTCTCTTGAATGAATTGTGAGCAATCGTTGCCTTTGGAGACTTCAACGCAGAGTAGAACAGTAAGACATTTGTTTGCGGACAGAATCAATCCCTTACAGTGAAATTTCGATAGATTTAGTAGAGGACAACGAGAGCTGCCTTAGACTAGGTAAGTTTATCGTATTCAGACAAACCGTGATGAAGATTTAGCATCGTTTTCAAAAATCCAGGTTTTTCTATAGTATATTTCTTTTTAGCACGGCAGCATTGTCCAGGTAAAAAAAAATAATAATATTCTGCCGTGTTTATTTTGGAATTTTTATAGTTTTTTTGTTTTTACATCTTTTTGTTTTACTAAGTACCTCCAATCGTGGTTAAACTTCTGACATATTTGTTCTGAACTTCTGGTATTACATCCCATATTTCTACATTTTGAGGATTCATCGATTAGACGCTGAATTTCTATCTTTTACAGAGGAAGAATTCCAAAAAATCATAAAGGAATACCCTCGGTTGATATTATCCAAATGTGTTAAAAGTTTTTATGTAAATTAACAATGCATAATTGATAGATATCACGAATATGCACCTTTTCCAGTTACCAGGTCGTTTACGAAAATGAAATAATTTTATCCGACTTACCAATTAAGAGTGGAGGTGTTTACACATTGGTGCTTCAAAAGATCGACTCCAAAATCGTAAGTTCTTTCTTATGTACATCTCACGTAAGTTTATAAAATTAATGTTAATGTTACAGGTAAATGGAACCGAATTTAATTTGAATGACGTGAGCGCCAATTTTCTTTTCCTTTCTCTCGGCATCTTTCTATTTACAAACATTTTGCCAATGAAATGCATCTTACTGCGTACGACGTGTAGCTGTATCAAATTTTATTGCCCTAAAAATAGCTTTTGAAGTTAAGAATTTTACAGATCGATGACCGTCTTACAGTATCCTTTTTCAACTCTTGATTTGGCTTGCGTCATTTGGAAAATAATTGGTTTAGTTGGATTAGTTGACTTTTTGAAAAACTACTGCTTAAAATCGAGGAAAGTTGTTGAGGGGTAACTGAAAATCGTTTAGGTACACAGGGACGAAAATTTTACGACCTCACTGAGGCAGGAGGTACCTAGATAATCGTTTAAAATTCACGACAAGGTTGCCAAGTTTGGCGATAAACTGTGGATATTTTACATGAGCTTAAATGGGACAAGTTCTAATAAATCACTACTATCTGGCAACAAGGAACCAGCTGAAAAAAATGTGAAATTTTGAAATTGAAAATGAGCGTTTCAATATCACCACTAAAGTTGAGTCTTAGGGGAGGAATAATACTTAAAGCTCCTTTTTCTCGGTCCGATCTTTACGTGACTTAGTTCCTTTCTGTTAAAATTGATCCCTATCATCGCAATAAAGGGTGAGTGATCAGTCATGCACCCGCTGTATTACCGCATTGTATCCAACAGTGCAAGTGAGTAAATGCAGTCATTCTTATAATCATTTTATTGCTCTCTTTACTTTTCCTCAGATCCCTTCGTTGATGCACCGAATTATATTTACTTTTTATCTCTATTTTTTTTTCTTTTCAGACGGGGAGTATTCACATAATAACGCCTCCCGCTACTTTACACATGCTGTGGATGCTGCCTCAAACTATCATCTTAGCGTTTGCTGAACTTATGTTTCAAATAACTTACTTATCCTTTATTTTCACCGAGGTAAGTTCTTCAAATGAACAATATCTCAAACATGATACCTACATATGTATCATGCAATTATTGAAACTTCTTCGTGTCTTTTACATCTTTTATTCTTTCTTTCATATTACTGTACATGCACTTTAATCAGTAAACCATCATGGAAAGAAGATCTCATTTTAAAATGAAATTAATTTTCCAAAGAACGGCACTTGCACAATTCATTGAGAAGATGCTTAAGCTTACTTATTTGTCCTTGGAAACGGCTGTCTTCTTCATCGATATCCTTCATGTTAGATAATTTGTGAGAATAAGAAATTTAGCACCAAGGTGTGGAAATCAACAAAGCACCATGCTCGAAAAAAAATGAAACGCAATTTTACACTCTTCAATACACCAATGAGATCAAAACAAAAATTACTGTCCTGCTTCAGACTGCTTGATCATGTCTTTTGAAAGATAAGTACCCAAGACTCTCATCGGACGTATTTTCTCTTCATTTTCCTTGCAGATTTTAATTCCATGCCATTCTTTTTGTTGATCCCTGATTACTTTGTGCTTTATCATCATCATTTATTATCAAATTTGTGTTCCCTATAATTTTTTACGTTTTCATTGTGTCCTGTAGGCTCCAGAGAAAATGAAATGCATAATGTCCTCTCTGTTCTCCTTGAGCATGGCTTTTGGCAGTGTAATAGTCGTGTTGATCACACGAGCTGGACTGTTCCATAGACAGGTAAATTTAAAGGATTAAAACTATACAAATATCTGGTTTCAGGACATTTTGTCAACGATTTTTTGTCCGCGCACCTTTTTTGTCAAGTAGTTTACGCCCACACGTAAAATAAGAAACAGTGACTTGGTCCAAGCGTTATATTTTAGTCGGTATGTAAAATTATATTGACAATATGGAAATGAGAAATTGAGAGAGAAGGAGGTGTTGTTATGGTTGCTCATTTTCTAAATGAAATGTTATTACTTTCTCCTTTTGAATCACCTTTTTAAATTGTCATTATGGTGAATATTTGATTTTATTTCTATCCTTAAAATATTTGACGTACAATATACCTTATACATATATGTATGGGTACTTTTTTTATTTTTAAATTTTTTCTTTACGAAATTATTACTTCATTTTGAAAACATTTATATTTTTAAAACGTGACAAATATTTGTAAACCCTTTTCCAAGCGACATTAATATCAATGAGCCGCAGTTGTGAAGCCGCAGAAACTGCAAAAATTAATAAAAGAAGGGAAAAAACCAAGAAGCACGCAATCTTTAGTTTTAACCCATTTGTACATCGATCTTTTAGAGTTAAATACGTCAAATTTTGAGCGTTTAGTTGCGCGTACACCTCGCTGCAGCACAATAAAAGCACAAAATGTAAAAGAAAAAAATTAAAGCGCTTTGGAAATCATTACATTTGACACGGAGCCATCAATATTTAAAAAACACACATTATATTATTATTCTCCTTTGATAAATTGATACATATTTTTTCCCATCAATTTAAATGAGAACAAGCAATGCAGAGTGTGCAAACATTTCAAAATCATGAGTTAAAAAACGCTGCCTATGCGAGTACCAATACTAAAGCCTAACAGAGCGGAGCGGCGCGCGGCGTGCTGCCAGCGTGAGAGGCTCACTGGCGCCTACAAACCTAAGTGGATACTTCACGCATTGCACAACGCTTGAAGTATCCACTTAGGTTTGTGGGCGCCAATGCGCGTTTTGCGCTGGCCGCCCGCCCGCCGTGCGGCGGCGCCTGAAGCAACTATTTCACAACAGAGGTGTTGCACAGTATTATACGAAATTGAACGTATTAAGAATGGCACTGCATCCTTTAAAAGTACAGATCTTTCCTCGCAAAATAAATCAAGATACTTATCGTAAACAGGAAAAACCTAAGAACCTTTAGCTGAGGCAAATATAGAGGTTTATCCGATTCTGGTATAACAAAGTGGGAATTTCTTGAAAGATAATTAAGTCCTGTTACACCAAAGAGGTGTAGAGAGTTTTAGTGAATTTTGTCTCATGGAATTGACGCTCCCCCATTTTTACCAAAACTCTCAACTATATACTATTCTCCGTTGGACCAAACAGACAAAACAAAAAAACAAGCAAACCCTCATTCTTCCAAGACATTATACATTTTCATCCAAAAACGTCATGAGCAATTGTCGTTTGTATTTACATGTGGGCCAATTAACTTTGGGTCTCAACTGGCACGTGGACCAAAAACCCCCCTGCCGAAAAAACGCGTGGACGTAAACTACTAGAAAAACAGGTGCGCGGACAAAAAATCGTTGACGAAACGTCCTATAACCTGTTGTCCTTATTGAAAGTTCCACAAAAAATAAGTCAGAATGTTAAAATTAATTTCAAGTATCAATCAAAAAGGGCGGTTGATTCTACCGCACTGAGGATAAGCGCCGTATACAAATTCGAGAGTTGCCAAATTTCCTGAAGTAAAATAATTATTTTTAAGGAGAGTAATGTATATTAACCGTTCTAATTTTCAGATAATTCAGATCTCATAGCAAATGAAATTCTGTGAAAAATTGGAGGAAAAATACTCACAGATTTTCCTGATAATTCGTATTTTATCAAAGGAAATTCGGCCACGCCTGAAGGTTCATACGGTGTTTTTCCTCGGAATTCTTTTAGCATTCTGTGTTCCAAAATGTCTGTAGATAACTCCATATCGACGGTGAAACTACCAAACCACGTATCTCGGTTTGCGACGTCGCAGACTTCCTGTCATACTTTATTTTTTAAATAAAAAACTACTTAACATCCAGTCTTGAAAATGTCTGTGATTTTTCCTCTTTGTGCGGAGAAAATTCCGTGAAAATTTCAAGGAATGATATTAATTTGGTCTACTTCAAAAAAATAAAATGTGAGCGTAGATTTTTAAACACCGCAAACGAGATACGTGGTTTGGTAGTTTCACCGTCGATATGCCCCGGTATAAACATATCAATTTTCAGTTTTCGTGAACTGAGCGGGTCCCTTCCTCCTTAATACACGGTCACATGCCGATGATAAAATTTCTAAACCACGTGTCTCGTTTGTAGTGTTTCAAAATCTCCACACTAATTTTATTTTTACGACGAAAAACCAATAAGCATCATTTTTTGAAATTTCCCTACATTTTCTCGCACAAATAAGGAAAATCACGGAAGTTATAAAGATTTTACTTGGAGTAGGTAGTTTTTCATTTAAAAGATAAGTAGTATAGATGTCTGCAATATTGCAAACCGAGAAACCTGGTTTGGGAGTTTCACCATCGAAATAGGCGTATTAACCAAAGTTTTAAGACTTAGCATGCAATTCCATGATAAAGAGGCTTGTTTTTTGTTTCAGTCCCTCGAATTCTTATTTTATGCTGGCCTCATGCTTCTGGACGTTATGCTGCTCATATTATTGTCGGTGCGGTACAAATATAGGAACTTGAGGCCAATCAAAAACGACGAGATGTCCAAAAAGGAGTTAGAATCTGACATGAAGGCTGTCACTTGCGATGAAACAGTGGCTTGAGCTTTCAAAAGTCCCCTTAACTATAATGCCAATCAATTCTTGGGCCTAAAAATACCTATCTTTCAGTATTATAAGTTCAAGTAACCAAATTTATCTGTCACAGAAACCGATCGGTTGCCTATCTCTGACCAAAATTCGGTTTCTTTGACCGAAACTTCGGTTGACAGAAGCTCGATCCTTCCTTCAAGTTGTGTAAAACCCCCTCTTCAAATTTACTGGACGCCCCCCCCCCCCACTTNAACTTTACAAGGTCCCTCCCCTCTCCCCGAATTCGAAGAGGCTCTCCACCCCCAAACCTCACCGAAGCCTCCACCCTCAAATATTGTCAGAGTATGCTATCCCCCGGGTTTTCATTTAACATATTGTAAAAAGACAGTCATAGTCAAGCGAAAGAGTGAGGTCAAAGGGATGGACCTTAGACCCCTGACCCGAGTAGAACAAAGCAAATGAAAATATTGCGATTAAATTATGATTTAATGCAATCAAATTGCATTATTTTACCATTAAATTGCAATATTATTAGGTACATCATTTGTTCAACAAATGCCGAGCTCAAACAATAATCAATAAGATGGGTTAAGTGCATGTATTAGAAAGACAGGCACTTGGCAATGCTGAGGAAATTGTGCATCATAATTTTAGTGCGATGCCGCTTTTATTCCCGGCCTCTTGAATTATCTAGACTAATCATCAACGGAAACTTTATCAGAAGGAGTGCTGAACATCGTAAAAACCGGGTGAAACTCGCCCGCTTTTTATGCGGGTTGTTAATGTTATGCGTGATACCAATGAACAAACATGACAAAACTGCTTGAAGCAGTTTTTACTGCTCCCTAGCCACTCACATTGCCTAGCGAAATATTGAAGGCGAACTGGTCTTAGCGAGAGAGTAACGACACGAAACAAGATGCCTTTTATTCTTGTTTGGGGAGAAAGAACTTTTTAAGGACCTGTTGAGGGGTTATTGTAGGCATGCCCATTCTAATATAAGGAGAGAAGCTATTTACTAGGATAGGGCCGGATCTACCTACTTGCCGCCCATGGGATGCCTGTATTTTTTCGCTCCCTTCTCATTCGTTAAGTGAACGTGCCGGTGGGGGAGGATTGTATGGACGCGTTTACTCGTGTTGGGCACATTTCTTGTGAAAGCCCTGTCCACACTCACATAAGCTCACGGAACTTTACGCGAAAGTTAAGTTCCGTAAACTCATCCCTGTTTGGACAAGGCCTTCTATTTCTAACAAACGAACGAAAAAATTACGAAAGAAGAAAAATGAATGTGCTTTATTTATTTTAACTTCCGCCGCTGCGCCGGCCGCATTGTGTTTGGCGCAATGCGTGAAGTATTCATGCAGTCTTGTAGGCGCTATGCGTTTCAAGCCAACTGCTGCCGACCGCAGTGTGTTTGCCGCAATGCGTGAAGTATTCATGCAGTCTTGTAGGCGCTATGTGTTTCATGCCGACCACCGCGCCGCGGACTTCTCCTTTTTATCTCAGTTCTCGTCATCATTGATCTCTGCGCCGCTCCGCTTAAGGTCAAATGGGCCTGTTGCAAACTTTTGCTAGAGCAAAACTAAGAGTTGTTTCCTGCAGATAATGCCTCAAAAATCACGATGAGTGCATTGGCAAAGTCTGAAATGCACTCATAACTTCACAATCTGCGTAAGAAATTTGCGGTTTTTTGAGCTTCCCGCTTCGAAAACGATACTACGGTACAGGTGAACATTTTGTTAGAGGAGTCGTTCCATTGGCGACAATACTGATCATGGCCGACGCCAGTTCGCCAAAACACGTGTGATGGGACGAGATAACACCTGAACAGGATTAAACCATATAACAATCGGCGTGTTTACGTTCATATTTTCCTCGCCCGCCTTAATTGACCTTGAACTCTCCTCGAATTACGCGAGGAACTGCGCAAGCGTCGGCCATGATGAATATTGCCGACGATGGAGCGACTCCTCTAACAAAATGTTCACCTGTGCAGTAGTATCGTTTTTGAAGCGGGAAGCTCAAAATAACGCAAATTTCTTACGCAGATTGTGAATTTATGAGTGCATTTCAGACTTTGCCGATGCGCTCATCGTGATTTTTGAGGCATTATCCATAGGAAACAACTCTTCATTCTGCTCTAGCAAAAGTTTGCAACAGGCCCATTGCATGTTTTGTTTCTCTCTTAACTCGATTAATTAAATGTGTTGTCTCTTGTATCACCGAAAGACAAAATTAGAAATTACTATACTTTTACTCTCAGGAAATGAGAGATTTTGTCGCCCTTTCTCGTTTGTAATTTATTTTCTGAATCCGATTTTTTCTTATTTTTTTTGATACCTATATTCAAAAAGATTGCAAAATTTGCCGCCCCCTACATTTTGCCCCCGTGGGCCACGGCGCCGCGGCCAATGTGGCCACCCCCTTAATCCGGCCCTGTACTAGGACGCTGTTGAAACAACATTAGAGTAGGTCCTCACTCCGCGCTGTGATAAAATTTTAGCGTAGGTAACTCAAATTGCATAAACATCGAATCGAAGGCTAACGCAATGTCAGTGAGGAGCTACGGAGATTCACAGTGTAGTGAGTCGATAAGAGAGGTTAGACGTGATGTAGAAAGTTTAAAAACTTGTATCCTCGTTAATACAAAACGTAATGGTTTTTAAGAGGTTCCATTGGTTTTCTCGCACAATATTCTGTACGAACCACCCCTTTTAATGTAAAATGTGAAAAAATTAACATCATTATTCGCAGTTTCAGTCTAAAATTTTATGTTCGGCCTTTTACATAACCCTCTCGTCCCTCTATGCGCCACTAGAGGGATACCGTTCTATGTTTGATCCAAAACGAGAATAACTGAAGAGAAAGTAGAGACGGGCGAGAGACAGTTAAAATAGAGGCAGTGCACAACATTTTCTGAGAATCACACTCCTCGGAGAAGAGGAGGTTGAATATTTTCTGTTTTAAACTCGGCGAGCAAGCACCTGTACAGATACAACAAAATACATCTGACTCCTACTACTCGAACAGGAATTTCGTGTCGTTCTAAATCAACGAGAGATTTCATAGGCGTTTCTGAAATGGTTTCAGAGTAGAAGAATTCCAAGTGTGGGAATCTTCTACCCTGAAAGGACTCTGAACAAATTAATTTGAATTTTACTTCAATTTCTGATGTCCCAAGCAAACTAAGGCTGTAACATTCGATGAAAGATAATTTGAAGCTCTGTGCAAAATGGCACCAAATAAATATCCACTTCTTTAGTATTCTTCTTTTCCTCCTTATTTTTCTCTTGATGGGGACGATTCTGCAGCAAGGCTTCAATGTCATACTAACGTCCTGGCACAGGCAAGAGTAAAGTGAAGGTTACTCATTCCATATTCGTCTTACATTAATATTTATGCACATCATAAATGGATATTTTTTTATTGTTTTTTGTTTACGGTTGATTTTAACGACAGCTATATTTCCAGGTTTTTCGGTACTACTTACGATTCAAATAGAGAAATGTAAAAACTTAATAGCAATAGATGAAATTTATTTGATTTATGTACAAAAGTAAAAGGGTGGGGGAGATTTCAAAATTGTAAAAAGTTCTCCGCAAAGGATAAAAATATATTTAATATAATGTACAAAGGTAAGGGCCAAGGAGGTATAAAATACTTCCAAAAGGAAAATAGTATTAAGCAAACAAAAAGAGCTGTCATAGTCTTAAACAGAGGATAAAAGCTCTTAAAGAAATCAGACATTCTACAATCAATTTTTTACAAAGAAAAACTTACAAAAAATATGACACATAAAGGATACCAGAGACGGAACTTTTAGTTATATTTAGGTGGGAGGATTTCTCCTTACCTCGAGGTCGCAAACAATCATATTTGGACTGAGTTAAGCAGAAAGGAACCAACCCACATTTTGGAAAAAATTGAGTTATGAGTGGTTTTGAACTCAACCACTGCTCTACTATATATCGCCAAAAATTCAAAGTTTTTGTTGGAGCGAATTTTGCAGAAATTGAACTTGAAGTTTATCTTTTACATTGAGTCTTATGCAGGAGCCAAACTTTAAACCTCTTTTTCTCGGTTCGATCCCGATGTGGCTTGGTTCCTTTCTGTTTAACTCCGTCCATTTAATAAATAAATAAATAAGTGAACAAATAAATAAAAAGTAAAAAGAATTCTTGTTCTTCCTATTTTTGGAGAGAAAAAACAGACAGAACGTCCAGTATTCTTTCCTGTTCTTGTATACCTGATTTATTTTTGTATTACATTCTATTTGTTTAAATTTTATTGTGATTAAAAAAGTGTAATGCTTTCTTTTCAAATTGAGAAAAAATACATGTACTGTATCTCTTGAGAGATAAGATTAAAAAGTAAATCCTAAAAAATAACTCATTGATGAACAGGTACTGCCCACAGAACTATTGGGATTCATTATATCCATTCAATTATGAATTAAGATAAAATTTGACATATTGTAACGTTATCATGATAGAAATTAAAAGCATTCTAAAAACGATAGGTCTGTTGCAAGCTTATGCCTACGGACACAGCAAGAACTATTTTTGAAAGAAAATATCTTAAAAATCATGTTAAGCACGTTCTAAAATTTACCTCTTCCTTCATATTCAAATTTGCTTATTTTGAAGCTTCCCACTTCAAAAAGTAGAGAGCAGCAACATCGAAATTTTTAATGTGACGTACAACGAGTCACTCTAACCTCATGACTCCATGCGAACCTTAAAATGATCGCTGTCATGTGCAGCACCTCCTCAAGTAAAAGTACATAGCATGTCAAACTTCTCACAACCAACAGCTTTACTTTGCTGCTTTCCAAGTTGAGTTTAAAAATAAAAAGAGATATTTTTGTTTGTTTTACTTTGAGGAACTGTACATGACAGGGGTCTTTTTGAGTTTAGCACAGAATCATGAAATCGAGGTGTTTCATTGATATCAAATCAGGTCTTCTCTTATTTATACTTTTTAAAGCAAGAGACTTAGAAATGCGCAAATTTGGCAAGCAGAGTAAAAGGTAAAGAGCGAATTGTTTGCGCTACTCTAAGATTGAAACGGACCTATAATTACACTCACAAATAAAAACCATCAATCATATGTTACCTTTGGCTAAAGGTCACAGAAACAAAAGATACCAATTCCACACATTGCAACATTTTAAAATTTTTGTCAATATTTTTTATTCTAGTGGGAGAACCAATTAATGGAATTGACTGATCAAAATCCGTTCAATTTTTTTTGAAACATCTAAAAATTAAGACTATTGATTTCAAAAAGAGAGAGAAGTTAGTTATTTTGTTAGGAACATGAAAAGCAATTTTTGCACACCTTTCTAAAGAGACATATTTTTTAACTGACACAAGAAGAATGTTCATGAAAACACTCAGCGTTCTTAATGATTTTCTTAAAAGATTTCATTAACACACATACCATATTTCCATACTTTTTGAGAACTAGTCGATGTTATATTAAAATATACAACTTTTTTTTGGCTGAAAACAAAAATTGTTGTTGATTATTGATACTTATCGTAATTAATACTTGAATTAAATTTAACCTCTACTTATGTAGAAAAAAGCTGAAGGTAGTAGGTAACATGAAGGTGTGTTGGTAAATACAAACTATCACCATGCTGAGAATGTCTTGGAATTCTGAGGATACAAAAGACAATCAAATTCTTAAAATAAACAGTTTGTAAAATTTGGGTCGTTAACTGTCCTTACCTTTTTAATTAAAATGTATGAACAATTAGATACTTTAACCTATCGGTGAGAAATTTTAAAATTTCTGTACAGTATTTTTGTCTGATCTCACTTGAAAACAAATTATGGTACCCTCCATCAGGATGTTAAAAAAATTTGAATTGAAAAAATTTATCTCGTGGGCACAAAAAAGCTTTTAGATAAAGAAAAAATAAGGTAAGAAGCAGAGGGGGAAAAAATAATTATGTAAATATGAAAACATTTTACAATAACCTTTCACTTTGATAGGGTGTCTATCTCTTGAATTAGTGCACATATACTTTCTTCGCTATCATATATGCCATCATAGCGTTTACAATGCAACTGGTGGATGAACACTTTGGCATTAAATTCCTCATCCAATTCGATGCTGGTTTTCAATGTTGGGATTCCAGACCTGGTAAAGAAAAGTAAAACCAATTTTATTAAGATTGTAATCAAAAGATATACATCGAGTTTTCTACCTAACTTTTCTCTCCCTGAATTCAGCACATGAACCCAAAAGGGAAAATATTTTGTCTCCCACCACTCTTCCTAAAAGGAAGTATAAGCATGCTTTTATAGAGTTTGAAACAGAGAATTTGATGCCCAAAATTTAATCTCCTTTGATAAATTTGAACCTCAGACATAAAGGTTCAAATCAAAGTCTTCATTAAATTTCAGTAAGAATTAAAGTTCAGAAACTTGTGAAACTGATTACTTTCAAAATGGCTCTCAGACAGTTAAATATTACGACTATTAATTTGGCAGACATACCTAGCTCTCCCACATGGTGACAAAAATATGCCAAGCAAAGGCAATTACTTTGGGGGTTGAAGGTTGCTCCTTCTTCCCATCCAAAATCGTCAAAAACAGTCAAAGTGTTTAACTTCAGAGAAATCTTAAGGATTGACACAAATATAATACAAAATAAAAAAACAAAACATTTGAAACCGTAAACCTTCAGAGCGTTTTATTACAAGGGAGGAAATAGACCCTTACCTTCCGCGGCAAACTTGTGCTATGCAAAAAGAGTTGGAATCTGGTAAGACATGCAAATTCCAGCTTGGCAGTAAGCGAGACACATCCTGCATCAAGTCATACAATGTTCTTTCTCCAGGTCGAACAACATTGTTTGTATCATTTTCATTGCTCTTCCTTAAAAGTGTGGACTTTGCTTGAAGGTTAAAGGGAACAACTTTAATTTTTGATGGGGCGACGTTGATTCCAACTAGTGAAGACCGCGTAAGAGTTTCTGAACGGTTGCTCTTTGGTCTCTTGTCTTTCACCTAAAAAGAAAAAATGAAATAGTGGTACACTTTAATTCACTTGGAATCCAGAGAAGTTTAAGGCTTAAGCATTTAGGTACCTAAATGTGAGCAGACCTATGGAAAGTTTAATAAAAAGTTTCATCTTTATGATATAATGATTATAATTATGGTGCAGATGCGTTTTCTTCAATACAAAGTTCTGATCATTATGAAAACGTGACAACATATGGGCTGCACAAGATAAATTAAATTAGCAAGGAAAAAATTATGTATGAATCGACACCCATGCACATTTTCAGAAAAATTTTCCAGACTGGTTTTGGACATGCACTCCATCTTCAGCAATAAATGGAGTCGCGCTTATTGCTGATTATGAGCTACAAGCCCAAAATAGGTCCGGCAAATCATTCTAAATGAATAAAAAAGTCAGGCGAATCACATATGTACATTTTTTTTATATCATTTACGATGATTTAAAATTCTCAGTTTGATGAGAGACAGTCATTCTTTGCACTCTTCTTACACATTTTTATGACAGCTGTCCGTCCGGATTTTTAAGTTCCCGCAGTGGGAAATCACGGGAATTCTGAATTTTGCTGAAAAGAGGGCACGTTTTTTAATATCATATGTAGTTCTGAGAAACTTAAAATATGTTGTAATTGACAGCTTTTGCCTGAATTCTTCCTCATTTTTTCATGTTCTCATAATTTTGAATGGTCCTGCACTTTACGTATTAGATGAAAAACCGAAAATTAGGTAGCATTAGTTATAATTTTTAAAGCATTCAGAGCCAATAAAAAGATGCTTGTTTTTAATATTCATGAGAAACTAATAAGCTTTAAAAAGATGTTTGGAATTAGCATAAATCAATTACCTCTGCCTCCAAATGATCTCTTAAGTAGGATTCATAGTCAAAGACCTTCCGATGTTTCCTGGTTGGTTTTTTGGGGGGCACAACCTTTGCTTTCTTAGCAGGAGTTGAGCTGCTTGTATTGCTTGATGTTGAGTCACCTTCATCGCTTTGCTTTTGCAATTTTCTTTTCAAAATTGAGGGAACTGAATCAGCATTCAGTTTACGAACAATTTCTTTCGCTGTTTCACTTGGCACACCTTTCTTGGCAACTGGAGTTTGTCCTGACTTGATCAAGGTTACTGTTGTACCCTTGTCATTAGGGTTAGCGGGTTTTGGACGAATGGGTATAAAGTTTTTGACCACCTTACCTGCTGGCGTTTTTTGTAATGTCTTTGCATTTGGTGCTTTAGGGTCTAATATAAAACCTCCACTGGCTAGGCGGGAGGGTGTTTTTAATGACCGCTTAGGTCGAGGTGCGGTTGAATCTTCATCACCTGATTCTTGAGCATCAGTTGCCACCTTGATTGTGCCACTAGGCATTTCAATTTTTTCCAGACGAATTGTTGGCTTAAATTTAGGGTCCAAGTTTTCTTCAAATTCTGGATAAACATTGAAGGTCATTGCTGAATCCACAACATGTGAAGCATCATCTTCTTCTTCCTCCTCCTTGATTAATACAGTGTGAAGGGCTTCTAACTCTTGATTTTGAACTGTGGAGCTTGTTGAGACTATGCTACAATCATCATCTCTAGTAACGTTGCTCACATGAGTTTCGGAGTTTGGTACAATTTCTGGAACAGGTGGTGAACTAGGAGCAGACATAGTTTCCGATGTGTCCACCATCTTCTCAGTGTCCTCCTGACACTCTGATTTTTCTTCATTGTCAGTCGAGGTGTTTGCGCCAGGATTTGGTATCTGCTCCTCTTCTGAATCAAATGAACAAAATTTAATTGGTCATAATAGCAACCTTCACTTAAGATTTTTACTGCTTTCAATTCCTGAGTTTCTCACATTCCAGCATCACAAATGCTTCAAATCCTATTTCACTTTGATTTTACTGGGATTGAGTAAAGAAAGAAAACATGAACACTTACTTTTTAATTTAATTTTGTATCCAAAATGAAAAGATAGTAGATTACAAAGAGAGGAAAAATTGAAACACAATTGCGCAAGTTGGAGGTTAACTTGGACCAAGTCTAAACAGAAAGGAACTGGTTCACATTAAGATCAAACCAGAAAAAAGAGGTATGAAGCTTCATTCCTCTATAAGGCTCAATGTTACAGACGGGGTTCCATACTTATTTTCATATTCAAAATATTTTCTCTCAACTTTGAATTTTTCCAAGGAAAAATTGTGCAACTCCTTAGGCTCAAAACTACTTCTTACCTATTTCTTCTCTTTCAAATGCAGGACATGGAGGCTCTCTGCTTAGAGTCCATTTCAAATGAGTTGACGCACTTTTAGTGTAGGACAGAAGATCAGGTGTCTTCAGTTTAGAATTGAAGGTAATTACAAGAATCTAGATGGCAGATCTTCTATTGCTGTCTAAAAATGTGTAAATTTATTTGGCATGGAATGTAATTCAGTACACTTGAGGGATTATTCCAGTTAAAGAGACGTGTTATGACAGCGTCTACTCAAGGTTTCTAATGCACATTTTTTTATTTGGATTGTGAGACACATACTTAACCTGCATTGAAATAAGAATATGGATACAACTACTGAAGTTATGAACACTAACCTTCTTTGTGGTCAGGGATGTTAGATATTTGCTCCTCTACTTCGGTGCTGGGAGCTACCGCTTCTTCTGAGGTGGAGTTAAGTTCAGGAGTGATTGGTTTATCTACAATTTTGGTCTCAAGTTTAGCGTTGGATTCAGATTCGGAGGCAGGCGCTGCTTTGTCCTCAAAAGTAAGAGTTTCCACAGTTGAGATTTCTTCAATGACTCCATAATTTTGAGCCTCATCTGTTTCACATGCGTCCTCCTCTAACTCTTCAATCAAATTCTCAGCGTCAATAGGAAAGCTCATTGTAGCAAAATTGATAATTCCAATTTATGACACATCAAGTTGTCTGCTTCAGTATTTCCTAAACAAGAGCAAACGAACGCCCTGGAAATAAGATAGATAGTAGATTTTTACTTACGATATGGTAGAACTGGCTTACAAAGACTGAATCCTTTATCATCAAACTTTTAAATAAAAATATTCATCTCTGCAGTCAAATAATAACCAGTAACATAGGGGGTGTTACCCATGCTTTGCCTGTAGGAGCTCATTTTAATAATCAGATTCATGTTCTTTTGTACATTAATTTCCTGTGCATGCTTGTAGAACTACCACACAAGCAAAACTCATGGGAGTTGCTTCATGATATCATTTAATTCTGTAAGTCGTCTATTTGGAAGAAGTAAATATCATATCATTATTACACTATTCTGGCATCATGATTCAAGTTAACTGGCCTTGATTCAAAATGCGACCTGTTCGTCAATTTTAGCCTTACACAAATTCTGTACTTGACTACTTAACCGGTTCAGTGTAGGCGTCATTTACCAAAAATTAAGTAAAGTTCTATATGGGAAGAATAACGTTGCCCACTAGGTATGAATACGTTTGATTACCTAATGCTAACTTTTACATCCATAATGAGCATGAGGCTGGAAACATCTGTTACTATGCGATATTGGTCTTACTTCACAACTCAGGTACATCTAATTCAGGATCCTGTAATCTGGAAAAGGATTTTTAATTGAGACATTAAAGATTGCCGGAATGTAAACATTAAACACATGAAGAGGGCCAGGGGCCCACCACGGGTTCCTTCCAGTGGTCCATTGCTTAAAAGATCCTATTATTACAGGAATTTGAGTCATTTAGAAGAAATAACTGCAGATGAAAATTTGTTCGAATGGAAATCGTTGATAATAAAAAGGAGAATTTACCAGTTGAGGTCTGCTGAAAGTTAATGAAACTTCTCATTCCTCATGGACAAATTCATCGACTGCCTAGAGAGAGTACATAATCATCACAGAAAATATCTTAAGGACTTTCAGCACTGCAAAATCTGCACCAAGTTTAACAGGAGAAAGAATGTTCACCAGGTATTCAAGAAAGCAGAACAAAGTCTTGGTCTTGATTTGAAGGGAATTGAAAGTTTTCATCGGCACATAAACATAAACATAACCTAAACAACGCCTAAACTTTAACCGTCCTCACCATTCACCAGACCCGGTTAACCATAACAACAATTTCGCGCCAAATATGAAACAGGTCAGTATTGGCCACATTGACGTATAATACAATCTATACCGCGCATTAGGAAATTTCGGCGAGACTAGGCTCCCTTCAAGCGAGACGATAGGCAATCCAGCAACACCCAGCAAGTGTACCGGCAAGACAATGGTGGAATTCGTGGAAATGCCAGTCTTGCCAGTGCCGTTGCCTGATACGGGTACACTTAGCTCGTATATCCGGCGGTATCAACTAGGCTGAAGGCGCGTCTTTGCCCTGATTTACCCCCCTAGCTGTCGTACCCCGCCCAAAGTCGGGCCCAATGCGCGGTCTAGATTGTATTATACGTCAATGATTGGTCAGAATCATTGTTTGTGGCACCCCCCTCCCTCCACAACAAATTTTGTGGAGAGGGGGGGGGTTAGGGGGGGTTANGGGGGGGGGGGTCAGCCCATCACTGCCGCGCCAAAGGAAAAACGCCGTATGAACATTCGAGAGATGCCAAATGTCTCCAGATAAAATATGTATTTTTGACGAAAATTGGGCTTATTTTTCCTTTAAATTTTCAGATATTTAAGACGTAATTGAGAACAAAATTGTCTCAAATCTGATAAATATTAAAAAAAAATTATAAAAAAAGATGAAAATTTTCCCCAGTAAATTTGTTTTTTATTGAAAGGAATATGGCAACGTCTGGGGACTCTTACGGCGTTCTTCCTCTTTAGAGGCGAGATTATCTCTTTCGTTTCAGATGGCCCAGGTCAATACCTCAGAAAATGATCAAACTTGCCGAAAACTTGATTTTTATTAAACTGTTAGCCGTTCTAGGCGCGCTTCGCGCGTCCGTCGGCTAGCCAAGGGGTTCGCCCCCTGGACCCCCCGTCACTCATTCGCTACAAGAGTAACACTCGGCACGCTCCGCGAGCCATTTTTCTAAGTAGTTTAAGAACATTTTTCTAAGTAGTTAAGGGGGGGCGGGGGGGTTTCAAATAGCAACCACTATCTTGTGATACTTCATTGGAAAGAGCATAAAAAACTAAGAATTTTGGCGCAAATCGCAGATCAATATCTCAATTTTTGATCGAGTTATGATAGGTTAAAGGCCAAATTTGTCCTATTTTCAAAAAATCATAATTCCGGTTCAAATTATTGTAGAGAAAAAATAAAACGGGAAAGTTTACCAAATTGTAAGCACTTTTAAGTAAAAATCACAGAAATTACATCAAAGTAATTTTAAGGGGGGGGGGGTCATACCCTCAAATGCGTCAATTCAAAGGTCATACGATTTTCCCGCGGAATGAGCGAATTTTCCCTAACTTTGCCTCAACATTACCTCGGTAAGTTCAAAATTAGTTCAACATCGCGTTTTAAACTCCCGAAATCTCGGGCAAAGTTCAATAAAGAACGAAATTTCAACGGTCACATTTCATCACCTTAAATTTCGTTTTTTTTTAAACTTTGAACCATGCCAAAAAAGCAATAAAAAGCTTAGGAAGAATCGAAGACTTTTATGTTCAAAATATCTGAAAAGTCATGGAATTTTCAATTCCAAGAAAACATGTCACCCTGCGAACAGGAAAGACTACGAAGGTCGTGATTCCTTTCGTTTTGGCTTGTAACGGTCCCGCAACATGTTTTTTTGGCAATGCTACCACATACAAAAGATAGTAAATTATTAACAGGATACGATTTTCACAAATTCCTGAGTATATTAAAAGGGAGATTTAGAAGAAGGCAAAGTGTGCAATTGCCGCTAAAGTCAGGCGAGTAATTGCCGCATAAAAAAATCCTCATTTCATTTATATATTTATTATTAACTAACTTATTCCTTTTTTCATGTTGATTACCCTGGTAAAAATTGGCAGTAGAATCTGTGTTCCAAAATACCATAGACCTACAGCCGGCTGTAAGATTTCCAATAGCTTCTATAGCCGGCTACACAATTTCTTATAGCCTTTTATAGCCGATGGCGATTAAGCAACAACGGATGCTAGGACTTAGTGAGTTTTTGGAATACTGCTCTCTTTTTGGGCCGTAGTATCTTGATTTATTCTGCGAGGAAAGCTCCGTACTTTTGATGGATGCCTGCCATTACTAATATGTTAGAGCGCCTTCAGTTTCGTATGATACTGTGCAATACCTTTGGTGTGAAATAGTTGCTTCAAGCGCTGTGGCAGGCGGGCAGCCAGCGAAAAACACGCATTGGCGCCTGCAAACCTAACAGGGATACTTCACGCGTTGCGCAATGCGTGAAGTATCCCTGTTAGGTTTGTAGGCGTCAGTGCGTTGCCGCTCCGCTTTGTGTTAGGCTCTAATATTTAATCTGGCGGAGTCAGCGTTATTCAACTCATGATTTTGAAATGATTTGCACATCCTGTATGGATTATTCTCATTTTAATTGATGAAAAAAAATATGTATTTAAGGAAAATATAATGTGTGTTTTGTAAATATTAAGGTGGTTCCGTATCAAACTTAATGATTTCCAAAGCACTCGAATTTCTACACAATTGCTTATATACTTTTATAATCGATGGCGAAAAAGCAACAGCCAGGCGATAAAGTGTTAAGCCCGGCGATAGGAACTACCTATAGCCCGGCCGTATGATTCCGCATTCTACAGCCAGCTATATGATTTTCTATAGCCTTCTTTAGCCGGCTATAAGAATTCCATGGGTAATTTGAAACGCAGCTCTTATCGCCAATTTTTACCAGGGTAAATGTTAGAGCTCGATATATGATGTATTATGTTGGTAGTGTGTAGTCATATTAGGTTGGTAGTCCGCTCGGACCACCTGATTGGTTGTTGTGTACGGCTCAAGGTTAGGCTCTCACTTGCTTGTACTTTTTCGCTGAATATATCATCTTACGTCCTCACCTGTGGCGTTCTCAGGCTGAAATGGTGTTACTTATTTTTATTTCATTTCACTCGTGATTATCCCATTCATTAGGTTATTAGTAAGTACTCAAACCGCCCTCTCTTTATGCAGCAACGAAGTATATGAATGCAAAAAGTGACGCATTTTGACACATGCTGAAAAAATTGAAGGCGCTTCGGCTATTTCAATGGCTTGATTTGGATGCAACTATTCTTGTTCTCGGGATGTCCGTATTGCATACACAAACAATTGCGGACGCTTTGGCTTTCTTGAACACGACGAAGGGCTACGGTTGTTAAAGCTCAAGGGTTTCCTACGCTGCATTTTCAAACATGTTTACCATGAAATCCTCTCGAGTGCGAATGAGCCATGGTGGATCATGCACATTTTCCTCCAAAAAAATTTCCACAAAGGCATCGCGGATGTCAATCCCGCGTGGGAGACTCTCGTATCTCATGATTTACGAAAAGATTTGTTTCATCATTCAAAATATTCATTTGATAAATAAATTTCTCTGCTTTCAATCCGGGAAATTTTGAGTTGCTCTTATTAGTTCTGGAAACGATGCGACTAAGATACCTTCGTAGGAGGATTTTCATTTTCACATAGATTCAAAATTGATTCCATTCGATTGCAACGCTGGAGTTGCTTTTTCGGTTCCCTTCGTAATGTCGCACATTACTCCGTTTTCCCCCGTTCTCTGGTGTATTTTTCAATTTCACGTGTGCCAAAGCATTTGATTTTGCTCTAAACTCCCAGAATAATCTGAAACAGAGACCTCCCACAACCGAAGAGTCGCGGCGAGCGTTGATGCAGCGAGTAGTGATTGGCCGAGCGGAGCCGCCCTTCAGCGCGAAGCTAGAAACTTTTCGGGGTCCACCAATGAAATTCTCGAGGGGTGGCAAGCTCCGACCAATCGCGCGATCCGCGTCTTAAAATATCCGAGATAGGTCGCATGCCCACGCGGTTGATTCATCCCTGTAACAGTTCCGTGCGCTCCCTCAACTGCGACCGCGAAACACCGCGGGTGGTGAATCAACTTGTTCGGACACCGGAAAGATTTTGCTCGAGTAATTGAGTGGAGCGCGTGAGTCTAACTTGGTAATTTCTTATTGGTTTAGTTAGTTGGGAGGAAATATTTTGTGTCCGTGCAAGGTTTTAAGTGATCGGCTACTATCGTTTTAGGGAAGGAGGAGCGAGGGTGGATCGGGAGGGGGGAGGCTGGGGACTTAGGCCTGGTCACCCCAACTCTGCTTGGATCTATCCCCAGAAAATGGGAGGGATTTTGCCAAATTAGAACGTGATGTTTGTGTCATTTTTTAAATCATCCATTTTTCCGTAAATCAGTTCAAAATTGCTCTTTTACATACATATCTCCGATACAACATATCAAAAATTTCCGTTGTTTGAATTTCTTACCTAGAAATAAAAATATTTTGACAATAATTAAGAAAAATCAGTGAATTTTTTTTAAAAAAATTAGAAAATACATAAGCGCAGTGTCAGTGTGGCTCAAATACACTTAGGGATGCTGATACGTTTCCGGGGATCCATCTAACTAACCTAAATTCCTCCTTCATGTGGGGTTTTCAAGTTTTGGGGGCCCCTAGAAGAAACCTGCCGAGGTGCTGAAGCACCCTAGTAGGCCAGACCGCCCCTGAATATAAGTTAAAGAAGAATTTGAAAATTGATAAATTACGATAGTCGGGGATAAAGTTATAAGAAAGAGTAGTAATAAAAGTATAGGAGTGATAAAATTTTATGAAAATCAGACTACTACTTTTCTTCTACTTTTCTTTTATATCTATACGATTTAAACATACGATCAGAACGTACTGTAGTATTATAAATTTTTCTCGTGGTGTTAACTCTGTAGTTTTTGAGGTTCTGGTTTTTGTATTCATCGTCTGAACCCGATAAATACCCATAATTTTAGAATGTGCTTGTCTTGTAGGAGAAAAGCTGGCTATGATCAGAATTCAAGAGGAGGAAGAGGAAGAGGAAAGGGGCGGTAGGAGGCCAAAATGTGCTCGGTGTCGTAATCATGGTCTCATTTCTTGGCTCAAAGGCCACAAAAGGCAATGCAGGTTCAAATCGTGCGTGTGTCCTAAATGCAATCTCATTGCGGAGCGGCAACGGGTTATGGCAGCTCAGGTATCTACTCGTAAAATATATTTTTAATAGTCAGTGTAAAAGTAGCAACAACTTTATGACTTAACCTAACAAGCAGGTATATGAATCCATCAATACTTCCGGTTTCATGATATACACCAGAGAAAAGTTCGGTTACACTCACCCTGTGTCCAGTGTACAAATCGGTTCGTCCTGCAAAACTTTCGGTTCACTTAGAAGAACTTTTTTAAAAAAAGGAAATAGATTTTAAATAATAAAAACATTGTTGAAAAAAATAAACTATTAAAAAATTTCGCCTCCATGCTTAGAGCTTAATAGGAGTTAAAACTAGAGGAGGCTCTACAGGAGTGCAGTGCCCCCGAAAAATTTTAAAAACCTAGTCTTTCACAAGAAAATTCGGCTTTATACTTTTACTAGCATACTATTCGGCTCTTTTTCTGTATAAAATAGAGTAGAACATTAATTTAAAAAAAAAAAAAAAAAAAAAAAAAAAAAAAAAAAAAAAATTACAAACGACCTCATTTACTTTTTCGTAAGCAGTGGTTTGTTCTACATCATTAAATTTTTTCGGCCACATTTGATCAATTTTATGATAATTATCACTTCAAAGTTTCTCAAATAATATATTAAGTATACCTACTTGTTACCTTTTTGATACGATTGAATCAACCAGTTCGTTAGATTTAATCGATAAAATATAAACTTTATGAATTCGCAAGGAGTTAATTACAAAGTTTACGCAAGGAGATAACTTTCGATTACGATTTTCTCAGTTAAGCAATTAGAGCTGTTTTGGAGTGAAACTGCAAGGAAGATGCATATTATGTTAAAGGAAAGCTTAGTGAGGTGAATGAAATCATTTAAAATCTATAAGTGCGCTCATAAAGCTTGTCATAAAAATTGGCCAAAAGGAATCTAGCATCAAACAAAAATTTTAGGATTTAATTTGGAAAAGCTGAAAATGAGAAAATTCCTGACAATTTCACTTTTCATTGCCATTTGGTACTCGAGAGAATAAAAATTCGATCGCATGAGACCCGTTACCTCAGATTTCTAAATTGACTTTTGAGGCTGTGGTTACATATTGAACCAATCGATATTAATATAATCTCACCTGTGTGATTTGTCGAATACGATCTAGAAAAACAATCAAGTGAACGTGCCGGTGGGAGAGGGGTGTATGAGACGCGTTTACTCGTGATGGGCATACATTTTTTGTGAAAGCCCTGTCAACAGTAACAAAAGTTCAGTTCCGTAAAACCATCCCTGTTTGGACAAGGCCACCCATATACAAAAAACGAACGAAAAAATTATGAAAGAACAAACATAAATGTGGTTAATAATTTTAACTTCCACCGCCGCGCCGACCGCACTGTGTTGGCGCAATGCGTGAAGTATTCATGCAGTTTTGTAGGCGCTATGCGTTTCACGCCGACTGCTGCTGACCGCAGTGTGTTTGACGCAATCCGTGAAGTATTCATGCAGTCTTGTAGGCGCTTTGCGTTCCATGCCGACCGCCTCACCGCTCCGTTCCAGGTCAAATTGCGTGTTTGGTTTCTCTCCTAACTCGACTAACTAAAGGCGTTGTCTCTTGTATCACCGAAAGACGACGAAATTAGAAATTCCTATACTTTCACTTTCAGGAATTGAGAGATTTTATCGCCTTTTCTCGTTTGTAATTTATTTTTGAATCCGATTTTTTCCTCTCTTTTTTTGATACCTACATTCCAAAAGATTGCAAAATTTGCCGCCCCGTACATTTTGCCGCCATGGGCCGCGGCCCATATGGCCACCCCCTTAATCCGGCCCTGGTCTTGAATTTCTACGCGTCATCAAGACCTTTCCTCGTTTGATTTTCTGCACTCGAATACTACAGTAATAATGTGCCTTTACGGACTAGCTCTCCTAATATTCAGGAAGAACACAAACCTTCTTTTTTATTATACCCAACAAGAATTATTAACTGTATCGACGGTGTAAGTCGGTAATCACATAACTCGTTTGCGGTATGAAAATCTCCGCCTCTATGTTACTTTTTAAAGGAGAACAAATTGACATCACTCCTTGAGGTTTATGCAGAATTTTCCTCGCACAGATCAGAAAAATCACGGCAGTTTTAAAGAATTGCCGTTGAGTAGTTTCCCGTTTAAAAAATGTAAAGTATTAAGTACCGTTTAAAGTATGACAGGAAGTCTGCGACGTTGCAAACCGAGTTATGTGATTGCCGACTTACACCGTCGATATGTATGCCTATACTAATCAGTGCCGTGTTTTCATCGTATTATTATGAATGCGGCAGGTGGCTTTGAAACGACAACAAGCAGCAGAGGATGCTATCGCCCTGGGCTTAGCTGCAGTCTCCACGGGGGCGCAATATGGATATTTGCCACCAGGCCCCATTTTTGGAATGGCGATCACTGACCCCAAGTCCGATTCCAAGTCCGATGTTCAAGGTATAATAACGCTTTCGCATGGTTTATTCAAAAAATAAAAAAAAAATATGACGCAATCAAGTTTTAACATTTTTGATCCTACATGGAAAAAATGGATTGCTGATTTAACAATTAGATTGTTAAAAAAAAGTGACAGCAATGTTTCAAACGTACACTTTACAATAGTGAAAAGCTAATTCAACCACGGGCGTGATTAAATTATAGTATTTTTCTTCATTGTCAAATCTATATTTGAAACATTGCTGCCACTTTTTTTAACTACACAATTGTTAAATCAGCAATTTCATTTTTTCCGCGTACTCATTTTAAAAGTAGGGTTTTTTCCTGGCATAAGGCAACATTCTCTAAGAGAAGACCTTCCTTAGATTAAGGAAAAAATGAATATGGGGAACTAATAAGGAATTTAGGATAAGCGGCTTTCCCTTTTTCAGACCGGTCTTGAATAAATGACATTGCATACATTTACGAATTGGATTGCATTTTTCAAAAAAGAACCGAGAGCATCTCACTGTTGCTAGGATTGTGCAACTTTCATTCTTCACGATGAAATTACTCAAATCATGCAAAAAAGTAAACTTACAAATAATTTTCGTCTTGAATTGATAGTTAATAATGAGTAAAAACAAAAATAGACAAAACTTGTTTAGATCACCAGTTTTTAATTGGAAGGCAAAGAAATTTGCACAATCTTAGCGACATTGGAATATTCTTGGTTCCTTTTTGTAGGATGCAATCCAATAATGTAGAGATGTGGATATAGCGTCAAATGCACTCGTTGTTTTACTCATCACCTTATCACTCAACCTTGACACTGAGGAGTGTGAGGGACACTTCTTATTATATGTTCACTCAAACTTCACCTTACAGAGCAAACAAATTCTGGGAGCGGGAAGCCTAAAGGTGATGTGGAACAGCTGATACCGCATGAAACACCCTCCTCTTTGCCTAGTCAGTCCCCGCGTTTGGACAAAATGAAGAATGATGCTGAAAGCAAACCTACGGTGCAGGAGCGAGAAATGGAAACTGAAAATATTGAAGTCATAAAAACGGAAGGCGAGAACATAAAGAACGAAGAATCAGAATTAAAGGCCCAGAAAGTTTCACCGCCGAAAAACGCAAATGCACCGACTTACTCGCAAACATCCCTGGAATTTTTAGTTCGCTTGTTCCCAGAGAAGAAAAGGTCGGTCTTGGAGTTGGTTCTCCGCAGGTAAGTTTTGAATTGGTTTTATCTATTCCATTCGTAAGTGTTGGCACACCAAACTAAAAAAATGTTTATGTATCTATTTATTTTTATTTTTTTTTTATTCGCGGAAAAATATCATTTACCAACTAAACGTGGAGTTATGAGGGCGGTTTTTTCATCTCTATGAAAGCAAATGTGAACAGTGTGCACTCATCATAGAGGATACTTACTGCATTTGTACACCCACTATATTTTTTGCATACATTTTAACAATTTTTCCCAAAAAGGCTGCAAGCACATATTTTTCAGAAAAAGTTTCTCTTTTCTCAATCTGTGTTTTTGTACTTTATTTATATACTTTTTTACTCAATGTGTACTTTTATTTACGAGCTTTACCTACAACGTTGCTCTACTCTGCAATATCCTCAATTTTTATTCTTAGTAGCTATGTTTTACTTTTTAATGCAAGTAAAGTAAAAATAATTATTTTTTGCCAAGAGTCCATTAGGCAATTTACAAAAACTGGCGTGTCGCGCACGAAGTTTGGAGAGCTCCGCGCAGACTTGCCGAAAAATTGTCTTAAATTTCGTCGTTACATTTTCTTATACTATGATGATACTTTAATTTTATATACAATATCTTTAAAGACATAAGACTTTTCATCGTGTGTTTAAATGATCTCATACAGATGTGAAGACGACCTTCTAAAAGCGATTGAGCAATGCGTGCCCCTCACAGACAAGGCCTCTTTTCCTGGTTTCGTCAAAGGGACAGTCAAACTGCAGAACTCCGGTGAGCAATTCGCTTTTCATCCTTTCTCCACTATTTTGTCTCTATTTTGAACAATAAAAAAATTCAGCCGAGTACGGTTCAGTCTAGCTAACCTCAAGATCTGACAATGGAGAGTAGCGGAAAAATTCGCAAATTCTGCTCCTGAAGTGCCGCGCAACAACATTTGAGTGTCAATCTCTTCCTCGACTGGGTTGCAAAGTTTGCCAACAGCGTCAGGCGCCTCAAAAAGACGCTCCTGAGGTTCCGTCCCTAAAAAATTGATCATACGAGAGATCACAAAGACGCGTCAAAATGCGGGAATCACCTCAGAGACTTCAACGCAGCGAAAAAAAGTAGGCGTAACGACAAATACGAGTTGCTTGACGTATGGAGACCTTATTATTCACAAAGCTCATGCTGCACACCAGAGATTTATAGATCTTTAATGGCACAAAACTGTTCTTCATATGTAATCTTGGGAGTTTTTCCCTCTTTTCAAGGAATGATTGGTAATATTACAGACTCTTTTGACATTGATGATAATTTCGGTGCAACTTGACGAATTTTCGAGATCTGACAACGGAGTGCGAGAGATCTGAGCGTCAAAAAAAAATCTCGCCCTCAACTGGACTACATTTTGCAATTTGGAACTATAAATTCTAGCCCGGTTCAAAAACAATGTATGTGCCATTAGTTTCCCTATGCACATAAGTGTTTTTCCAGAGGAGCCAGAAATCCCAGAATTTCAAGTTCCAAATTGCAAAATGCAGTCCAACTCGGCTGCAGCGTTTCCCGCCTGCGCACAGCGGATCGAGTCAATCACAGGTCGAACATGACATTTTTAACAAAAACTGCGAATTTCGATGCGATCTAATTTGTCGCATTTTAAATTTTAAGGGGTGTTTCTACAAGAGAATTTCACGAGAAAACCAATAGAACCACTTTCATAACCTCAACGTTTTGCATGAACGGAGCTATACGCTTTTAGAGTGTCCAAATTTTGTCCGTCCTCTCCCAGTGACTCGATCCACCATGCGGCGTCAGACGCCTTGGAAAAACGCTCTTAAGGTGATTCGATGGACGCCATATTTTGTGTCAGAACGGCATGCGATTTATCGTATCAATTGGTTCCATTTTTTCAGCGACTCGTAATTTTTCTCCAATTTTGAGATCGCCATTCTGTTGTCAGGAGACACAAGCACTCGCTTACCAATTTTAACAAAGAAATTCAACGTAATAAAGGCGTGGTTTTTTAGAGAGAAAATATCGCATTCGAGTGCAGTTTCAACATCAGTATCGAATACGATATTTTCTCTCTAAAAAAACCACGCCTTTATTACGTTGAATTTCTTTATTAAAATTGGTAAGCGAGTGCTTTAGTCTCCTGACAACAGAATGGCGATCTCAAAATTGGAGAAAAATGACGAGTCGCTGAAAAAATGGAACCAATGGAGAATTTGCAAGGGTCTGAAATTTGATGAATTTCCTGTTTAAGTGGAATCCTCTGAGTGAACTGAACACGAAGATACCCTTGATTCATAAATTGAGCAATTATTAGAGGAGATATGGCAAAATAACCGATTCTGCTAAAATACATGTGTTTAAATGGGAAATGCCGCCAGATGACGTCACAAGGCGGCACATTTTCTCACTTTTAAATCAATTTTTCTCCAATTTCCCATGTCAGAAAAAAATTATGAAAAATATTGCGAACTCAGCTCATTAGGCACTTTCAGATGAAGCGATAAAAAAATTGCGTGCAAATTCTCCATTGATGCGATATATCGCATGCCATTCTGACACAAAATATGGCGTCCATCGAATCACCTTAAGGTTCCTTTGGATGAGTGGATGCCTTTTTTTGCAGAGCCGGCGACCAAAGGTCAATATTCCAGCGGCGGTGGCGGTGGGAGGAAAGGCCGCGTCATGGGGCCGCGTCACGGACACGGCTCGGCCTTCCGCCCGTTTCACAGGGCGCCACCGGAGGCGCATCAAAGCAGCCGATTGGATCTCCCACGACTCGCCATGTTCTCGCCGCCGACTCTCCTCCAACTCCCCGCCCACCACAGCTTCTCCTCGCCCACCCTCGCCAGCCTCGGGTAAACTTTCATGCAACTGTCTTTCAACTTTCAACGGGATTATTGCAGAAATTGGTCGTATTTCTGTCAAACGGTACTAAGCGCAAATTCGAGTTCCTTTTGAGGAAATTAGAATGCCGGATAGCGCGTTCTGTCAAACGGAACTAAGCGCCATAGAAAAGCATTGCGAGCATAGGACGGAATGATCCCGACGCCCGGTTCCGCCGCCAATCCAAGCCCTCTTCTACCTTCCTCACCCTATGGCGCTTAGGTCCGTTTGACAGAAATACGTCCAATTGATGCACGGAGAAAAAACTTCGTGCATGGGACCCGAAGTTGAGGTCATGTGGATCTCTGAAGTTTTCGGATCACGCATCCGAAGACTTGAGGTCCAACTGCCAAAGTTCGGATCAGACTTCTGAAGTATTTCGGTATGTACCGAAGGGTTCAGGTCACACATCTGAAATACTCCGGTACATACCTAGAGCTTCAGATGTCTGACCCGAACTTCGGCAGTTGGACCTCAAGTTTTCGGATGCGTGATCCGAAAACTTCAGAGATCCATATGACCTCAATTCGGGTCCCATGCACGAAGTGTTTTTATCTCCGTGTGGACAGAGCTATACAGACAAAGCGATAGAGAAAGCTATGGACAAAGCTATAGCCAAACTGATAGACAAAGCTAAAGACAAAGAGATAGACAAAGAGCTAGAGAAAGAGATAGATAGAGCGAGGGACTAAGCGAGGGACAAATAAGATCTAGGGAAACTAGAACAATCATATTGCATGAGGTGGATGCTTATTGTAAACCAAGGGGGAACCGATGAACTAACCATAGGGTTCTTCGTAAGTTGCCTGTGCTTAGCTTGTTACTTAGCTCCTTTTGTCTATTTTAACCATTGTCGGCTTCCACCGAATGGACTCGCTCCACTTTCCCTTTTCCTTTTTCTCTATCGCTTATGTCTATTATTAATTTCAATGTAATCATATCGCTGCTGTTTTATTTTCAAGTGCGAGTATAATGAGCAACATTTCTTGAAATTTTCACCAAAATTCTCAGAAGGGCGTAGGAAAATCAGAGAAAGTATAGATGCCGTTACGTAACGTTGAGCCCGGTACCCTCTCATCCCTTGTCACGCTCGGTCACGAAATTATAAGGACCCCCCCCCCCCCCCCCCCNCCCCCCCCCACGGAGCGTTATGTAATTTGGACTAAATTTTGCAATTTGGAACTAAAATATCAAGCTCATCCATAAAAGCACCTACCTGCATGAAGAAACTTACATGGTACATATCGATGGTGAAACTACCAAATTGCGTATCTCGATTTTTTTCCGAGTTGAATTATCTGCGTAAATGGGTTGTAGGAGATGTCCTTCATCTACCATTAAATTATCTTTGTCGGAAAAAATCGGGAACTTACCAAAAAAACGTAGTTAAAATATCACTTATCTCAACACTAATTTTTGAGCCACTTATCTCACGTCGCGCACCATCGCTTCTATTTTATTTTTTTGGAGAGGAACAAATCAAAATCATTCCTAGAAGTCTTCACAGAATTTTCCTCGCGCAGAGAGGAAAAATTACCGAAATTTTTATTATTTGATGTTGAGTGATTTTCTTTTGAAAAAAAGAAAACAAGTAGCAGAAAAAATCTGCAACGTCGCAAACCGAGATGCGTAGTTTGGGAGTTTCACCGTCGACTTTCTTCATTTCCAGATGTCACTCAGAGTAACCTACGGTTTTGGTCGATATAACTAAATATGTGGTCCATCAACCAAGTTTTTGTGGTTGATCTAATCGAAATGAAGTAAATCAAAGTAACCTAAAGTAACGAAACATACGAGAATTTTTAATAATGCAGTAATTTACTCGGTGTGTTGTGTCTCAATTTTCAGGAGTGGAGCGGCTATGGTGGGCTACGGTCATGGGCAAGCATCCTACCAACCACTCCAGGCTACAGCCTCGTCGACAGCATTTCAGCTTAACTCGCTTTTGTTTCAGCAAACTCCTCCCTGTCTTATACCTCATTGTTCTGAGTGTTTGTCAGAAGATTCTTAGAAATTAAAAATTGGTGCCGAATAATTTGGAATAAGGCAAACATGCTGAGCGTAGTCACCCAAGTAGCATTTCTGAACGGAAAAATCGCTATATATTGCGATTTAATCGGTGATAAAATCGCCAGGATCAGCAACATCTGAACGATTTTCTTCGATCTTATCGAAATAAAATCGCAATTTTATCGCCCGGCAATTTATCGCGATATTTTCGAGATAAAACTCGCGATAAATGGCGATTTAATCTCGATTTTATCGACAAAAATTGATCGCGATTCTATCGAACCGAAAATTGCGATGTGTAGCGATGTAATCGCCTTATATCGCAATTTTTTATGCGATAATATCTCGATATATTGCAACCGATATAATTGCGATAACCAACCGATATAATCGCGATAACCAACCGATATAATCGCGATAACCAACCGATATAATCGCGATAACCAACCGATAAAATCGCTATTTATCGCGATCACTGCTATACTTGGGCAATAGTTTAAATTTGAGGTTCCAAAAATCGTAATTTAGGGGTGAACACATGCCTGAAAACCACCAAAGAATCGTCCGTGGAAAAGTACGCACGTTCAAAATTCACAATCGCACTAACCAGCTATTGCGATGCTAAAGAAGGAAACTTGATTTTTACTACTTCAGTACATAAAATGTGGAGGACTACCGGATCAGTTTTTTAAATGGTCAATATTAAATCGTTTTTTAATAGGCATGTGCAATATTTTAGTGAAGGAGTTTACAACATTATAAGTGTTGGATATTCTTCAAATGCTCACTGGGTTAAATTATCGGGAAACACGTCATCATTACATTGCAGAACAATTGCAAACGCGGAGATAGGATATTCTTGTGCAAAATAAGGTATTCTCATCGGAAAATTTAAGTGAACCTGTTTATTGAAGGGAAAGACTGGATTTAAGGAATGGAATGGTTGGTTAAGTCTTTTACTTTCCAAAAAGCTACCATAATGGGGGACAAAGTAGGAGGGAAGACCACGATTTGGTAGACAGTAGACGGAAATTTTTTTTCGAATTCCTCATAAAGATAGACATGGGTTGTGCAATACCTACTCACTTAGCTTTTTTCTTCAAAATTTCAAGTGCAGATAGACTTATTATGTTTAATGCGTCATTTTATCCAAAATGTTTACCCATTTTTTTAAAATGACTAATATTACATTTTATTTTATGGTTTATTGTTTATATCAACTGCTGATAACTGCAAGCGTACCCATTCGTTGGTTGTAATCGAAATGTTTAGAGAATATCAGAATAAAATAAACTCAATACTGAAATTAAGGCACTATTCTTTTTTTTTTAATCACTCTTGTACTCTTTCATAGACAACAATTTTAAATGTGCTCGAAAAGAGTGTGTTATAAACATCTAAAAAATGTCTTATCCCAAAATGAGACCGACAGTGTTTTGTCAAATTTAACTTCTCTTCCTGATCTCAAAACCTGTTGTCGGTCTGACCGGAGCTGGGACATTCTACCACGGTAAGGCTCTAAAAAAGACAATAATGTCGAAAAATTTGTCTTTGAAATTCTTGTTGAGAGGAAGCATCCCAGGTTTTTTCATTGCAATAATACCTCTCGATCCCAAAAAACGCCAGCTTAAAAAGTAGCGTCAAGGGAATATCTACCGGAAATACTGAACATTTCCGATGATAAATCCGTCCAAGTGGAAGTTGACGCGGTAAACTTTCGTGCGACATCAGTGAGTGTTTTACTTTTACTAATACCTACTGGTGTACCTATAACTAGAAATGCTGAAACTTCCGATGAATATTCACTTAACCTGGAATACTTTTGCGAACAATCACGGAGTGTCTCCGGCGATCAGCAGGTGTAACCGGGAATGCCGAATGTCCAGGTAAATATGCACTTGATGCTGCAACTTTTGCTCGTGAAATGCTGAGTATTTCCTATAGGTATTCCCGTGACGCTACTTATTTAAGGAAATGATTTTTGGGACCAGGGGGTATTATCGCATTAAAAATATTTTGTGTGCCTCATTTTAAAATCTGACAATTTTTCGGCATTATCGCCACCGTTCAAGCATAGAATGCTCCAGCTCTGGTTAGGCTAGGTTTTGAGATAAAGAAGGAAAGTTTTGTCGGTTTTCAAAGAGTCGCTCATTTTGAAGCGGGACACCAAAATGACAGCGATCAAGATTAATTGGTCAAGATTAAGTCATCTGATATTTAAAACAAGCACTAGTCCTAGTGCTAAAGTTCCAGAGTATATCGGGGGCGGAGAGGGAAAGGGCAGTGGCATGCCGCATGACCTTATCCTAGAGTTACGAAGAAAAAGTCAATAGGAAAAGAAGGAATCAGGAGAAGAGCAAAGGAGAAAAAATGTAATGAGAGCGTAGCCCCTACCTCTATTAAAAACCAAGAACATCTGATAAGCCCAATAGCTCTAATAACGTGGCCACATTTTACTCATTTTTTTTCTGGTCAAAAACATTGCTAATAGTTGACCCAATTGTCTTTTCATGCCTGTTTTCCTCATGTTTGTCTACTTTTCCTCTATGATAGTTGTTGTTGTTGGTTTTTTTTTTTTTTTTTTTTTTTTTTTTTTTTTTTTTAATTCAATGAGAAAAGGTACAATACTCAATTTTCGCTGACAAGTTGTGTTCATGGGTGCACAACAACGAGAAATTTTAACAACTTTCAATCGGAGGGGACTCAATTTTCAAAATTTTCCGAGGAGGAGGGGCTTTTGAAACCCTTCTACCACTCTTGGGAAGTCTCTCTTTAGATCCGCCACAGTGCCAAAAAAGGATCTTTAAATGACGTATCATGTATCATGAATGAAAGGAACGGATTTTGCTCAAACAAATTAGGGCGAGGTATTTCAACCTTGAGGTGGAGGTGAGGAAATGACAAGATGCTTGAGACGCGGAGGCTGCTGTTAAGTAGCATCGAGTGACGTAGCTAAACTTTCCGACACGCCATCGTAATCGCGGAGGGTGAAGGGAGGACGAACGAATTAGTTGAATAAACAGGAGAACGCCTGGAACTGGACCACCCGCACGATGCAAACTTGTCATCTCCCCGTGCACGAGTCTATAAAAAAATCCAAAGTTAAATTCTTGCGCTCAACAGTCACCCACAGCAAAAAGTAAAAAGGAAGAACGGATAATTAAGAGACCATTTTAGGGCTAGTTATCATTTTAACACATTTAGATTTTATTTTAGTTTCTTTGTTTGCAACCCAAAACATAAGCCCCCATCATAAATAAAGAAAGAATTCAGACAGGAAGGCGTAGGGGGCGCACGCCCCCCTCCCCCCGTTCTCCCGAAAAGAAGTATGAAGAAAAAGGGAGGAAAGAAAGAAAGAAGGAAGGAATGGAGGAGAGAAGAAGAAAGGACGCTTGTATTTGGTAATTATTCATTACAAAATTGACTCATACTGCACAAGAGATGCTCTAAAATTTCGAAAATTGTCTGGGAGAAGCCCCCTCCCCCCGCCCCTTCCCCCGCCCCTCCCCGTTTGAAGTATCTAGATTCGTGTATTATATAGTTCCTTTTAGCATAAATACGCCCATAAGAACAACTTTGAGACCAGAAAATGGATTCCTCAAGGAATATGAGTCTTTGTTCATAACTTCTTGCCATTGGTTCATTAAGTAGGTCGTATACAAATACAATAATTAATTGCAATTTAGCTAGGGAAAAAATTGTTGGGCTAATAATTTACATACTCATTATTTTGTAGAATACGCACAGTTAGGCATCAAAAACTACAAATGATAGCTTTGATCTCACTCATTTATTCAATTTATTTTGAAAAGTTCAATTGAGAAAGCTAAGGGTGGTTCAACAACAACGTTCCGTGTAGTGGAGGATATCATAATTTAACGTATTTCTGTCAAACGGAACTAAGCGCCAATTTGAGTTCCTTTTGAGGAATTTAGAATGCTGGATAGCGCGTTCTGTCAAACGGAACTAAGCGCCATGGAAAAACATTGCGAGTATAGGAACGAATGAGCCCGACGCCCGGTTCGGCCGCCAATCCAAGCCCCCCTCTACCTTCCTACCCCGATGGCGCTTAGTTCCGTTTGACAGAAATACGTCCAATTATAAGAGCTTAGTAATATTTCCCATGATTCCGAGAAAACTTCCTTAAATTTATCCAGTTACGTTCTCCTCTATATTCCATACGAAACAAGAAAATTACATTTTTAAGACTATTCAAAGGTAATACAAAATAAAAATCATAAAAATAGTTTTCTGGAGATCTGACAAGGCATACTCTGAGGGACGGTAGAACGCGCAGAAGAAACATAAATACAAAGTGATAGAATTAGGTGGATTACTCTTTGCACTGCACAGCCCGAGGCCCGATGGATCTAACCCGCGGTTTGGGAGGGAGGGGGAGAAAGGGAGAACAGAAGGGTGTCATCGGGTGAAATTCAATCGCTTATGAATTCTTGTGCCGTTCACTGAGGGAATAAACGAGGGAGAGGAGATGGTGGGATGGGCAAACACCACGCTCTAATAGAAAAATCTTGGCGTACATGAGAGGTGTTTACTTAAGCTGTTGGCTCGACTTCCTTGTTGATGTTGGTCCATTCCGAAGTGAAGTTATCAGACTGCCGACCATTTTCAAACTTCATTATTTCGCTCGATCAATCTGTGAGGCCTCCAACATTGTTTCAGTCAATTTTTTAAATTTTTTTTTTTCGGAAAATTGTAATGCTTCGAAAATTTTTAGTAGAAGCTTGATTATACGCAGTAGCTGGGATCGCACAACGATTAATTTAATAGCATGGACGGTTCGAAATCGAGGAACATCTCTTAAAACTGAACCCTGACTTCAGCTTTCAAAAAAGAGTAAAAAGAGAGATTAGGTGGGGAAACTAACATGAGAAAATTTACAGTATTTATTACGATCAAATATTTTAATTTGATGATGGAGTTTGGTAAAAAAAAACCCGTGAGGTGGAAACTGTAATAACAGATCAGTACAACGAAAAAATCGATTTGAGGTCAAAAATATTTACTGTCAGTTTTTCATGCCAAACTGACGGTAGGCTATTTCGCCTTCAATGGAGCGGGTAGTCAAAACGCGCTCCTCGAAGTTCGAAAGGTGGTATCATTATCGCTGACACGCTGATCCATGTTTCTTTCAGCTTATTACTCATGCAACGGCTTCATCCCTGATACGACCGCTTTCATCGGGAGTCAAAATAACTG